TGATGTACATCAATCTTCCTATCTATAAAATCAAAGTACCACTGTATTCTATCAGCTAGGCTCTAACTCTGAGACTAATGCAATTTATTCTGTGCTTTGTATTTTCATACATATTCTATGTTCTCAGCAATAGAATTGAAAAGTATTAATAAAATTATCAACTCCTTGCACTACAACAACATAAGCAAAGTTTATAACAATTAAATCATCATCAACAACAACAAATCACCCAAACAGAAACCTGCATCCAGCATTAAAAATTAGGGAAGGGTGCCAAAACATATGCCTCCAAAGTCTAACACTATACTATATATTGGACCAGATTGCAAAACTGTCCTAAGAAAGCACCACAGTACTAAGTAGAGAAGACTTTGGAAGATGACTAATGAACCCCCAAGTCTGCAGTGGGAAGGTCAGAACACAGAAGAGAAGGAAGCACACCATTTTGGATGCTGTTCACTGGAGTCACTGAACAGCAGCTTCTCTCCACCATGTGGAGAGCACACAAGACAGAGGTCTGGCATGACCCCAGCATGCAGGAAGCTGGAAACTGACAAAGCAGGATACAGGATGAAAGTGTGGCCCATGAAAAGGGTCCATCACAGTCAGAGACAGCATGGCACCATGAAGAGGTCCTGAGGCTGGGATCGCTCCCAGCTCCACTCCTTCTCACTATACTCAGTCTAACCAAAAGCTACAACTAACCTACTAATGCAAACTAGTATCACCAGCATGGCAGCTCCTGCTGCAAAGAAGGGAAACTATGGCATTGAGTTATCTAAGACAATCCATCCACCCTGTCAATATTCAAACATCAGTCCTATGAGGAATTCTTTATGTTTGAGGAGAATAAATGGGAAAACAATTCATAAAACAAACCCACAAACATTTCTAAGACATAAAATGGCATGAAGTAAACTTAATGACAGTCTCTTCTACGTGAAGTCAAAACAGTAAAAGTGAATGATACTGATGTAACGAAAGAAGAGATGAAAGATGACTCACAAGACAATGGGCTGTGACTAGAGGAGGCATGCCAAAGGGCAGGTGGAAATACAGAACTGGACAGAATGAAGAAAAGTCAAAATGCAATAGATTTATTCTCCATTAACAGCAATAAAGAGCTGAACTGCCAGTGGAAGAAATAAAAATGAATGCTATAATGTGCAAAGTTAACAAGTTTACCTAGAGGGAGAAGGAAGGGAAAGAGCTAAGAAAAGAGCGAAAAAAGAAGAAAGTGATAAATGACAATTGGGTGTAAGGCGGAATAAAACATACTAGTAAATGTTATTTCAAAAGAATAAACCAGAATAAATAAACAGGCAAGTGATTAGACATAATAACAAAAACGAATACGAAACCAACTATAATTGTTAATTTTTTGAGCAATTATTATGTAATAAGTGTAGTAATAAATGCTTGATTACTGTTTTTTTTAGCAGTAGCTGCTTTATACACATTAATTCTTTAATTTTCAGGAAAACACTAAGTAGTGGGCATCATTATTATATGATGTTAAACATGAAGAAATGAAATCAAAATAATATAACAGGAAAATTTTTTTCAACTTAAGTAAACCTGAATCAACAGACTTAAATGATTTAGCAGATCATACAAATACACCAACCAACAAACAAACCCCTAGCAATTGTGTATTTGTGTTTTGAATTTCAAAGATAAGGAAGACATCACAGAGATCTAGGCAGGGGAAAACACACACATATGCATATAGATATATACATATATATGAAAAATTATATATATAAATTTTACATATATATGAAAAATTAGTTTTCAGATTTGGCCATAGTGAATGCATGAAAGCAATGAATTAATACCCACAGTGTTTTAAAGAAAAAGGTTTATCTCACTTACATTACATCTAGCTAAGTTGTCAACATACACATGGGCAACAAAAGTTAATGTCAGATACACAGGGGCTCAGGAATTGAACAAATACATATAATCCCGAGAAACTGCTGGAAGAAGTATTCCAGCTTTACAATAAATTAGTTAAGAATATTAACAAAAATAAAATTTAGTAGTGATATAGAAAATTAGCATACATATGTCAACAATATCTATATGTACAAATAACCAGTTAGTAGATATAAGTGAAGAGTAAAACCTACATATAATAGTAACACAAAATAAAATAGCTAGGAACATACTTAATATGAAACATGCAAAACCTATATGAGGAAACTTTAAAACACTCCTGAAAGAACCCACAAAGCAAACCTGAACAAATGAAAAAACACAGCATATTCTTGGATAGAAGACTGAAGTCTGTAACTTGTCTGGGAAGACAGAAGGAACAGGTTGGAGATGGGATAAATCAGGGTTCTACTTTGGTGATGCTGAGGCTGGCCCCCTGAGAGAGGCCACATATGCAACAGGTAGACTAGTATGGAACACCATGGAGAAGTCAGCATGAAAGCTATGAATTTGCAAGTCCTCCACACATGCCACTGAGCAACAGCGTGTATTTGGAGAAGAGAAAGGTACCTAGTACAGAAACTTGGACATTCCAACATTTACAGATTAGCTAGGAGTGGAGACCTGTCACAGAAGACTATGTGGGTAGTGACAAGAACAAAAGCCATGAGTGGGACACCCTAGAAGCCAAAGACAATCAAGTCAATCGGGGAGGGAATTTCTTCCTGTATTCCCAGTGCCTAGCCCATAGTAAGAATTCAGAAAATTTGTTAAATGGATAAAAATATAGATAAATCAATGAAGAAATAAGCTTCTTCTAGAAAAAATATTGTGAAAATGGACCCAAGAGGTAGATGAAAACAAAACCTTTAGATGAATCCTGCATGTGTACTATATGGGTATGTGTATATGTAAACATAACAAAAATAATCCTAAATTCTAATTGAAGGCCTAAATATAGCTTTATCTTAAAAGAATAATACAACATGGCCACTTCCCTAATAGTACCAAAATCTCTAGTAAAATATCCAGCCAAATGTGCACTGAATTACTGCAATAGAAATGGAAAAGTATTAAGTATTCATTAACAAAATATTGAGCACTAAGTGTACAAATAATGTGGACTCATTGGTCTTGCAAAGACCCTGAAGACCATGCAACCCTCTCCCCCCGTCCCTAGATGGGCCATCAGAACCTGCACCTTTCCCCAAGCATTGCTGTCTTCTTCCAACTTGTCACAAAATCCTCTTTCAACAAATAACTGACATCTGGAACTTCCAGCGATCCCTAGAGGTCTTCAAACAACCTCTTGACAACCAGATAGAAGCCTGGCATGAAGCTTATTTTATTATTTTTTATTTTAAAATTTCCAGAAAATGTATAGGGTTAAAATTAAACCTGTTACTATAATAACTATTTAGTCTCTCTTTATGAGCAGTTCCAAAATGCTATGACTAATTTCATACATGCAGCCATCAGAGTTACTTTCATGATGTCAGTTATGTTCTTGACCATATTTATTCAGAACCACACTGCCAGATTGATGCATTTCTGTGTGCAAATCTGTTGTATCTTTAGAATAGTCATCAGTGCTTCCCACTCTTCTTAAAATCTAGCCTTTTACTCTGCAGAGGTTGAACTAGTTCATTCAAACCAACCAATCAACCTACCAACCAACTAGTTTTTCAGCCAGTCATAAATATGACTAAAGAACATATATGTTCTTTCCTGGATATGATCGATTTTATCTTTCTATATACCTTCTAACAAAGCTTTACAACTTCCTTAAACTGTTGAGCAAGCAAATCAAATCAGTTTTTCATACATGTTATAGCTAAAATGGTATCTCATGTATAAATTATAAACAATGACTGTTTCTTACTAGCTTATCATGTACTTTTCCTTGCTCCCCAGACTATTACTAAAGTGCACTTTTGGTCTTAACTCACAAGAAATACTCTTGAATCCACTTCACCCTTTGAGCAACAGTATTTTTTGTAAAACAGTACTTTCCTGGTTGTCAATGACTATGCCAATCTTTTGGTTTTTGTTTTGTTTTGTTTTGTTTTTAGCATTGGGGGCTTTTGTGTGAGTGAGCCTGAGCTGAGACTAAAATGTAAACTTGGTAAGACTGTGACTCCTTGTCCCAGGAATCACCTCCTCTTTTCACTTAGTAACAATATGATGCTGGAGTAGGTGCTTCATCTTTATTTGTTTTAATCCTTTTTAACCTGCTAGGATAGGTATTCTAAAACCTCACGTACCAGTTGAGCAGGGGCTGTGCACAGGCATTTATATATTGAATTACATCTACATTTTCTGATGACAAGGTTTTATGAAGTTAGCTCAGAATGAGGAAAAATAAAAACTCTGCCTTTCAATGTTATTTCTAAACCATTCTAAGGTGTAACCACCAGAGGCAAGAACAAAAGCCATGCTGAATTCTTTTCTAATTGAAGTGATGATTTGTTGTGTGGTTGGTGTATTGTCATCTTTCCCTACCATGTCATTCTCAGTCACTGTAATACCAAATTTTATAAGCTTTTTGTTTGTTTTCTTAGCATCTTCTCTAAACAAAACACATCTTATTTTCACTTCAGGGATGTACATTGTTTGCTGCATGTGAAAGCTCTTACATGACATTTTTAAAAAGTCATTAAATGCCTTCCGTATGTAGGAATTTGTTCTAGGCAATGTACAATGTGGGCTGGTGGAAACTGTTCCCAAACTCTGTAAATTAGCTTAGTGCTGCAGAGCAGACATATTATATCTACAATTATTTATGAACACACATATACTTTACCCATTCTATAGTCGTCAATCACCTGAATCAAATTTTATGAAATGGAACATTAAATATGTGAAAAATTGTTACAACTTACTAAATAAATTTTAGTTAAATTATGTTGACTACCATAAAATTTGTATAAATATGAAAAGCATAGTTTAAATGTAATTAAAATCTTTTAGATTTGCTTGCTTGCCATATTAGCCCTAAGAAAAACATATTTCTTAAAACCACAAAGAAAATAATTCTATCAATGGGAAAATGATTTATTTACCTGGATCTTCTATAGTTAAGTTCTTTATTAACCATTGAACAATGTCTGACCCTAGAAAAAGAAAAAAGAAAAACACAAATATTTGTGAACATTTGTTTATACATGTTAACTTTAAGAACTCTTAACTTCTGGCACTCACATTAGTAGGAATGTTTGTTTTATGTTTTTGCATATATCTTTTTTTTATTAAAGTATAGTTGACACACGATGTTACACTAGTTTCAGGTGTACAACAGTGACTCAACAAGTCCACATGTCACGGTAGGCTCACCACAAGTGTAGCTCTCATCTGTCCCCATACAACCCTATTACAATACCAATGACTATATTCCCAATGCTATACTTTTCATCCCTGTGACTTACTAATTGTGTAACTGGAAGTCTGTATCTTCCACTTCCCTTCACCCATTTTGCCGTTCCCCTCTTCCGCTCTCCCCTCTGTCAACCACCAGTTTGTTGTCTGGATGTATTCTCTGAGTCTGTTTCTGCTTTGTTTGTTTTTAAGATTCTACATATTAGTGAAATCATATGGCATTTGTCTTCCTTTGTTTGACTTATGTCATTTAGTGCAATACCCCCATAGAGGTCCATCCATGTTGCAAATATCAAGATGTGCCCAGGTGAAAACTAGTAAATTATTTAATATGAAATATTTAAACACAAAGGTTTAATATACTTGTAGTGGATAAGATGATTCATTCATTTGTTCATTGACTACGTGCTTATTGGGTGCCCACTATGTTTGAAGTACAATTCTTAGCACGGCATACCCGATACTTTGTAAGATGGTCCTTTTATCTACTCTCAAGCCAAGCCAAATTTTTTGTTAGCTTTTGAAAACTCCTATGTGTTTCAAGTCTCCATGTCTTTATAGTACTATTCTCTTTGACCAAAATGTCTTACCACTATTTTCAAGACACTCAAGATTCGTTTACACAATAGAACTTTCCTTGACCCTCATTTTTGTCCACTGAGTTTACAGCAACCTCCATTGAAAGTGAACTGGTCTCAGGAAACAAACTGAGGGTTGCTGGAGTGGTGGGGGGTGGGAGGGGTGGGGCGGCTGGGTGATGGACATTGGGGAGGGTATGTGCTATGGTGAGCGCTGTGAATTGTGTGAGACTTTTGAATCACAGACCTGTACCTCTGAAACAAATAATACATTATATGTTAAGAAAAAAAATTAAAAAAAAAAAAGTGAACTGGTATCTGTGTAGTCTTGTACTGTAGTACAGATCATACAATGTTGCAACTGTTGATTTGAATAAAGCCCTCAAGTAAGTACTTTGAAGCGGGTAACATATTCACCTTTCTACATTTGGAACAAAGCAAGTGTTTGATAATGTGTGATGAATAAAAAATATGAGTAAATATAGGTTTTCACTTTATACAGAATAAAATGAAAGAGGGTCTGCAGAAAATGTGATGTTTGAGCTAGATTTTGATATATGAAAAAGACAAAACTTAGTTACTGAAGGCCTATGTCAAAATTAAAAAGGGGGCAATAGGCAATAAAAACTATTGTGTTCCTTCTATATACTACATGCTGGGAATAACAGGAACTTGACACTAATAAAAGTACTCAGATCTTGAATTCCAGGCAAAATAATTTAGATTTTTTCTTTCTATATGTCAGGCAGAGAAAGGGAGACATGGTATGTTCTGTTGTGTTTGGTTTTAAACAGAAGAATGACCTTATCAAAACAAGTTTAAGGAATTCGATTGGCAATACATGTGGGAGTGTCTTGGGCCAGTCAGACAGAAAGCAGGGAAGCCAACATTTCTACTGGTCAAGATCCAGGATTGAAAGGAAAAGTACTGAACTAGTTAATGTACAAGCAAACTAAAGCAAAATTAGAGGCTTGCTTCAGGACTTTGTGACTAATTAGGTATGGGGGTGGCCAGTGGGAGAATAGTAAGAGAACTCAAGGTTTCCAGTGCAGGAGCATCGAGGATGAAAAGAATGGTGAAAATATGAGCAGAAAGAAGAGGACTTGATTTACCTGAAATATTCATTTCTATTTAATTTAGTTTTCAGCATCATTCATTTCTACATAAAATAGCAAAAAATATGTATGAAAATAGCTTTGTATACATAGTAAGCTGCAGCAGGGCTGCATGAATGAAATTTTGTGTGACCTGAAATTCCACTTCTACCTCTCTTGGAGACTGACTTCCGTCGCACCTGAGACGTAGCATATGACTGATGTTGACAATGGCTAAATAATTCTTGCTGCTTCATGCAAAATAGTTCAGAACTATCTTCAGAATAAGCTTGGGGGCACCTGGCTGGCTTAGTCAGTAGAGCATGCAACCCTTGATCTTGGGGTTGTGAGCTTGAACCCCACGTTGTGTGTAGGGATTACTTTAAAAAATCTTTTAAAAAAATTAAAAAATAAAATATGTATGCATTTTTTAAATGACTTCATGTGTTGAATCACTTGTGTTCTTTTATAACTGTTACTTTTATAACTGCCATTGATTTCCATACAGGTAATAAGATGGATTCACCTTGATCTTAAAGCAGCTCTGAGGGAAGGAAGGAAGGACGACCACTCACAAGAACACAGGTATTTCACAGTGTTATGTTCAGCCTTATAACCTAACTTGTCTTGAGGCACTGTCATCCCTTCAAAAAAGAGAAGGGGGACTCAGTTTTTCAAATATGTTTGTATTGATACTTGACCAAAGTAGAATTCCAGGTACCCAAATCTTATGCACTATTTCCAGGTACCTTGCTCATTTTCCACATTTGAGCATCAACTTGGGGAACATATGTGAGCAGCCACTGGAAATTTTCCATGCTTTTGCAGAGAGCCAAACATTGGTTCCAAGACTATAATTTTCTCTTAGTGTGAAAGATGATTTAGAAATGCTTTTAGGGAAAGTTTTTTTTTAAGTTTTCTTCTTTTTTATTTTTCTGAGCAGAAAGAAATACAAAGAAGCTTAATTTGAAACTACATTTAACTCAGGAAACAGGAAACTTTTTTTCCTAGCCTAGATTTGAGTATTTCTATTATGGTTATATCCTCAGTTCAGCTCTGAAAGGGATGATTGGGCCACTTGTCAATATTACTTAGGAGATGCTATTATAGTGGTTTTATTATTGCGTGGTCACGCCAGTATACTTATGGTTTTAAGTTAGAACATTATGAATTACTTTGCTGTTAAATATATACCCAAATCCACCATATTTACGTATTATGTATGTATGACAGCAAGACCTTAGCTTCCAGACAGAGAACAAAAACTTCAGCATCTTGATGGAACCAGAAGACTAAAAGAGAAATGTGCTATCATAGCCACATTGAGAATTACAATTCAAAATTAAAAGGGTGCATTACAGTCAGGAGGGGTGTAGGAAAGAAAGGTGCATTTCTAGTCCAACATCTCAGCCTTTGTTTAATGAATAGATGAATAGGTTTGTGTAAATGTACATATCCAGGGTACTTTAGACTTCCATCCGTCTTTATTGTGAGGGCCTCGCAGTAAAAATGGAGAATTTTTTGTTTTCTTTTTTGCTTTTTGTTGTTTTTTCTTTTCTTTAAAAAAAATGGCAAAAGAGCTCTTGAATAGCTACAATGTGAAACTTGCTGAGAGATGCAATAATATCTTAAACCCCAAGAAATAAAAGAAACACCTGTATGACTACAGCTACTGGGAACTTGAGCCCCAAGCAGTGTCTATACTCTTGCTTTGAATTCTTACTCTTGTACCCCTCACAGTTACAAAATTATGTGTTCCCTCTCCTTAGCAGGAGAAGTAGAGGTTTTATTATTGTGCAATCCCAGTAATCTATGATTTGAAAAATGAAAACAAGCAAAACAAGCAAGACAGTTCCTCATACACTGCTCATAGCTGCCCACATGCTGTATTGTTTCTTATTTCCATGACTTTGCTGATGCCATTCCGTCCCCGTCTCTTTTTCCTTCAGCCAATTCCAACTCAGTCCATAAGATTCAGGTCACACATAATGACTCCAGGAAGCCGCCTCTACCCACCCCACCTGCGGGAGGGTGTTATTCATCTTTGGATCCCAAACACCCAGCCCAGTGCCTGACGTGTAGAAGCTAATCAGTAAATGTTAAAAGAATGAATGAATTCACAGCAAGGTTCCCTCTCCAGATCTTTCTCTAAGACAATTTACAAAAGGATGGTATCTACCATACAAAGAGTATTTGGCTGGCATATAATTTTCAGCTACCATAATCACCTTTTGCAGTGATAATTTTCCCATTTCAGTGCTATCACTTTACCACTCCACCCATAATTAAAGCAAAGCCATGGAAGACGTTTAGACATCGGTATTATTTCCTCACCCCTGCCATGGACCTGAGCGGAAAGAGGCTGCCCCAAGTCTGCTGTGCTGCAGAGAGGCCTGAAGCAGGCCCTGTCCTGTGCCTGCGTTACTTCCATTGCAGCTATGTTCCTTCTACTGATTAGGACACACCCTCAGCTACAAGGGTCAGCTACAGTCATCCCTACCCTAAACCTGGGTGGATGGCTCGCAAAAAGGAAAATATTGTGAAACTTTTGTGCATGTGATATATGAGGGCTTTGTAAGCAACCAAAATGTTACACTTTTGATTTGTATCTGCTACAAAAAAATCTCTTTAAGTTCTGCTAAAGCCATTAACAAAAACTTTAGCTCTTAATCAGTGGAAGAGGCCCAAATATTCCTGAGGCAAAGACATTGACCTTTTTAATATTTCTCTCTCAGGAAAATAGATAGGGTTTTTGCTTGGGGTGGAGCTCCCGGGCTGTTTTTTTAAGCAGATATTTAATTAAGATCATGACAATTTATCTGGATTTTTAAACTTCATTGTGTAAGTTCCATAAACCATAAAAAGATTTCTTCAGACACAAAACAAGGATTTTGGACCTCTTCAAAGCCTAAGAAGCTTTAAAGAAAGGCAGCAGAAACAGCAAAGCAGCAAAGATGACAATAATCAGAGGACACAAGAATATCGAGATGACCCTAAGGACTGTTTCCCACCCTCTCCCACAATTCAAGATGATTACTGATCAAGCAGAGCACCTTTTTTTTTTTTTTTT